CCCCAAAACCCCAAAACCCCAAAACCCCAAGAGATTTATAAACTATAATAAATTAGTGAAGTTTAAATATATTTTTTTATTATATTTTACTTTTTAATCATTTGTACTTATTTAACTTTAATTCAAATATAGGCTTAGCATTATCAGAATATTACTTGATAAACTTCTAAGTCAACCACCTTAAATCTTGAGTATCCTGCTATATTATCATTTTCACCCAACTATGCTATCCAAGCACCTTAGTCATCTATTTGTTTTTAACTCATAATGCACTAATTAAATTGTTAATTGCAATCATTTTAAATATTGATACCAGCTTCCTTTCCAAATATCATTAATTATTCTTTCTTATGGGTTACATAGCAATCAAAGTATTGATTTTGTTGATACAAAGCATTCTTAGTGAGTGAAAAAAGGAAGGAATCATCGTTTCTAATCATTTAACTATTTTATGGAGAAGTCCAAGGAATCGGCGTATAGCCTCCAAAAGTTTTTCCGAAAATACTTAAAACGAAAGAAATTGTTGGCCCTTTATTATCACAACGACTATGGAAATCAATTGCTTTGAACCCATCTCTTGAAGCCTGATAGATCAATTTCACATCTTTTTGCTCATTTCTTAGCTTATTGGTAAGAAGAGTGTTGTTATTTGAAATTCTAAGTAGATTATTAACCTGCTCATTTACAAGTCTTCTGAATTCTAAATACATGTTATGGTATAATTTGTCAATATTGAAAGGTATGACCACTATTTAATCTAGCTTTTATAAATCAAAGTGTTTTCTTTTATCTTGTTCAATTTTCAATTAGGCATCTTCTTAGATAATTTTCTAGTGTTTTTCATTGAAGCTTTTTCTAAAAATATATTATGATTTAAAGAAAAATTTACGAAAACACGGAGAGAAAGTTAAAAATGTCTGATCTTTCCTTAACTTTATTCTTGGTTTATTGATCAAGAGTAGAATTTTAAATTATTTTGCAATTCTTTTCGACAATATCTTTAATTTCTTTAGCCTAGAACAGCCTTTCTTTATTTATATATTATTAAATTTTATCCAATAACTATTAGAATTTGTCAATCTCTAGTTTCAAGATAGGAATCATCTTGTCAAATGCCTCATCCAAAAAGATCCTTTCAAAGTTTAAATATTAAGTATGATCATTAACAATCTTTTTATTCGCATCTTTGACCCAGCAATAGTTGCAAATTAATTGATGCTGATTTTAGCAGTAGATATTAGCATTTTCTTGAGAATGAATGTCACAATTAATGCAAAAAAAATCATTGTTTTTAAGTATTCTGATCAGATACATAGGTTCAATAATTTGCTAATCAACAGGACAGAGATGTTTTTCATCAAAGGGGCATTAAATTTGTAGATTTTAGACTTAATCTTTTTGATTATTATAGCATTACGTGCACAGAATATCTCCACATGATAATAGGAATGGCTTCCTCTCTTGAAGGTTGTAGAATTTCTTACAGTGTTAGCAAATCAGCATATCGTTGGAATACTTATATTACATTAGAATGATTATAACTATCTAATTCTAAAATCTTAATGTATTTAATTATCATTAATAGCCAACAAAATCTAAAAGACTCTATGCTCATGGGGTTTTGGGGTTTTGGGGTTTTGGGG